CTATATTTTCCCCGCCCCTTCTGACATTCACTTGGTGAAAGTGGAGGGTATTGTTTTTGTCTTTTGGTGCTTTTTTTTGAGGGGCCTCTTAACATCAACATTGCATCGTTGAGTCTTGGGTAGTGACAGTTTAAACTGCATTGCTCTTCCTTTTCGGGTACGCTAGAGTAGCGTGATAATCACGATTTCCGCGTTCTCTGATGATATGTAGTTCTGCAGGGATAGTATTGTGCGGTTATGGATCGTAGAGGAATGCTGGAATAGTATAGGGAGGTGAAGGATATATGCCGAACAACGAAGCAGTTGAATAGAGCTTAAGGGTGAAGCTTGGTAGGGTGACACGAAGAGGGTATGAATAGACCTTCAGAGATATTCAGTAAATGTAATGAGCTGAGGATTTCTGAAGGAGAAGAACACTACATATATATACAAGAATTAGTCCTACTGAGACGAATTTAGAAATAAGCCAGGATATGCGCCCATGTCCCAGTATGGCGACATTATCATGGTGAAGGTATGTCTTGACCACCAGTAGACCCCCAAGCTAGCTGAGTGTAAGACAGAATCATGCATATACCATAATTTCCAACATATCTTGTGTTAAGCGCCAAGACTAATTAATATTACAGAAAATAGATGTGGCGCAGTATTAAATGATACGAATAACGGAAACGAAAACGAGATAGTACATGACTAGTGTAACAGATGCAGGACTGTTAGAATTACAACAGATAGGAGGCAGAATTATCCTGTTTTGACTTCTTGGCCAGGCCATACAGCTACCCTCATTCGAGTTGTGAGGTCCCGCGTAATTTGAGTACTTTAGCACCTTGGCCTGGCACCCTGATGTCTCGTGGGTTCCTCCATATTGTCCACATCGCTAGCTCCTGGTACAGGAACGCGTGGTGTGGAATCCCTAAAAACGTTGAAATTGCTCAATAAGTCTTCGGGGCAAGAAGGGAATGGCTGGTTCGCTTTCGTCAGAAAGACGAAACTTTGTGTTGGCTAGTTTCTGTTGGAAATGGACAACCCAGCTCGTTGAGTATTGGCCAAGTTTTGTTTCTGTGTACCTTACCTGGATTGTTGTGGCGCCACATACGGCCTGGCACTCGTTCTTCACCATTCTATTGGTGACTGGGATGTACCTTCGAGCGTCCTGATGAACAGTGGCACATGTGGTACAATAAGTGACGTCCATCTGGACGCTGCCTCAATCACTGTGTTGTCCTCCTGTAGGGAAGGTCCAGTTCTGATGATTGTGTCTCTCAATGCACCTAACGCGCATTCTAGAGCGATCCCCGACCTGACTGAGTACATCGAGGTGATAGCTGAGGCTGCGATCCCAGCCATGTTAGTTATAATCTTCTTGATCGTAACTGGCGGTAGCTTGTGCCAGTGGTGATCTCTCCCCAATCGAAGGAACAGGCGTTTGTCTTCCTTCGAGTTGTCTGTGCCTTTGGGCGGCTTGTTGGGGCAGGTACTCTCGGAGCTTACACAATAGGAGGAGTTGGAAGCTTTGCCACTTTACCGACTAATGTCGCCAAGGTCGAGCTTGTGTCCTGAGGTTTTGGTGATAGATGTCATGGACGAGGACGAAGACGAGGACGAAGACAGAAGCTGATAATGAGGACGAGATATTTAGATTAATAATTAGATTCTAAAACATGAGTAATTTACAAGACAAAAAGCTACAGTACAAATCCAGCCCTAGAGCTTCCTTAAGTACACGAGCTTCAATACTATAACCAAGGGTGTAGTAGTTCACAGCTATAACACAGTAACTAACTAGTACTCTGAATGGCAACTGTTGCTATCACAACACTGTAACCATTACAATACCTAAATTGTGTTATTGTATGCACGTCATAACTCGGTTGCCTGGGTGCGACACGACATCTCAGAGATGGGTTGTGACAATAGATTGTTGCCGTTATCCTCAATGACGATGTAGTTCCTAGGCACAACTTGTTTGGGAGTGCTTGCCATAGTGGGGGGCTTCTTACTTGGATAGTTGTGTACTTCTGCCTGATCTGCTGCGAGGGCAGTGATAACAGACGTGATCTTTCCATCAGAGTCGCGACGACTGCTGCTGCTGCTTGCTTCTCTTCTTTGCTCTTAGCCAAGGAGTCGATTAGTTCAAGAAATTCCCGGGCTATGCCCAACCTTTCTTTTCGTTGTTCTGCTTTTTGCATTGCATTCACAATTCCAAGCAAGCTTGGGTGAAGTCTCCCTCCTGTATTGGAGGGCGTTATCGATGACGATGCCACAGCTGAGGCCATTTTTTTTTGCATCAGATTTTAATTGCGTATGCAGCTATCTAGCAATGACACAATATCAAAGAAAAGTACAGAATGGATTATTCAACGTAAGGGAAGAGCACTCATGCCTCGGATTTCATTTGCGAGTACCACTGCGAAGTTATGGTGGCTTTTTCTTCACCCCAAGTCAACCCTCATCCGTGAATACCCATCCAGGGGAACGTCTCAAAAACCCTGAGTTATCCAGACATGCCTCCGTCATCCATCAACTTTTCTCCGCGCGATATTTAATCTGAGATAATTCCTTCCCAAGTGGAGTAGGTGCCCAGGCTACTCAAACTATACCAGAGAACACCACCAGGAGGCGGATCACATCACCTTCCATCGTCGGCTTGTTTTTATAGTGTCAGCTGCACTCTCGCAAGCGAAGTCTTGGCGCGCACAAAGCCCATTTCGTAAAACTCCTTGCCAAAATTCGGAATGTCATGCCCTTCGAAGTTATATCCTTCCTCCGCATCATCTTGTCAACTTGTCCTGATTCCTCTCACGTTCATCCCAAAGAGCTGTCTCCCAGATTTGTGCTCCACGCCTTGCTTCCTCCTGCGAGTGTAAATATCGGCGTGGGCGTGTATATGGTGGTCAACTAGGACCAGAGAAGGTTGAAGAGAGGTGTGGTCATTGGAATGAGGATGTATCTGGTCGTACCTGTAGACTTGGTGAGACTTAGGTGGGAGTCGAACTCGATGGGAGCGAAAAAACGACGTGGAGGAGTAATATGAATTTTTGCCTAGTGGGACAACTTCTTTGATATTCCAAAATTTGACTGAACTTGGCTCTGGGAGAATATTTCACTCCCAGGTTCGTAGAGGACACCGCGTACAGGTGTTCAGTCTTGCCCTCCAGCTGGGGCCTTTTTTTTTTTTTTAAATCATTGAGTGTATGCAGCCTAACTAGCTATGACACTTGCTGGGGCCATTGCATCGGTTGGAGATTCATGGAAAGAAGGTTAGTGAGTAATGCGACGTGGGATGGGTCGGGGGGTATACGATGATTTTGATATATTGTTCTGATGAGTCTATGACAATACATGAATAAGCGGGCACAATCTAGTTGCAGACCGAGTGTATTTATACCTCATACACGACCTCTTTCCAGCAGTCACATCCCTACAGGTCTTCATCGGAGTTCGCTTATACAGGATCCGTTATCACGCTATAATCTACCATCTTCGACCAACCAAATTGAAGTAATCTACAGGTGTGTAGCCACAGAGAAGATTTTCAACAACTACTGAGTGCAGGGCTCTTCTACTACAGACATCAGGAATAGGTCTGGATTTAAAGCTACTGTTCTGAAGTGTTTGAACTGTGCACCAGCTAGAAGCAGCTGTTCTGTGTGTACCTGAGAATATCTTTCAACCTTCTTAGCTTCCCCCTTACTCCTCCACCGGTTCATATCTCAGGATAAATAAAGTTCGGTAGATGATAATATAATTGTTTTGGTCAAGAGTGACTACCGAGAAGGAGCCTAGCTTAATATTCAAGAGTCGTTACGAACGTGGGGTTGTCGAGTTACTCGTGTATTCCAAGTACTCTCCTAGCTAGTAGATTCGGAAACGAGATATGGAAAAGATGATGTTGTCGACAAGTCGAAATCTGCTTTTCTTGAAGACGGAAGGACCTTTTACTTTCCTTTCGTGGGCTTCTATTTGCCAGCAGATGGGCAGGCCTTGTTAAAATATGAAGAGGGGTTCTCGGACTACCGTTATAGTGTTTGGTACCGCATTATATTTCCACATTTTCAGTATAATTATCATCGTATATGATATCATAGGCAGTTGAGAGGGTGAATAACTCTGCTCAAATCCGAAAAGGTGTGGCCAAGGTTTTAAAGTTATCATCAATTACTACAGACAATGATGAAATTTCAGAGTTAGAAGATTAGTTATAATAGCATGTTTGCATAATGGCAGGTGTATTGCATGTTACATTGGCACTCTGCTGCCCCAAAGCCGACTACAGTCAAACCCCTGTCAAGACGATGTAATCGGGGCCGTGGAAAATATCGTCTGATAGGGGATATCATTTAAAAGGATATCATTATCTAATCCAGCTATCTAGGCTACTATGTACTTTTAATGCCTCTTTTATACTCCCAATTGCCGTCTTTAATCGCTCTAATACTCTCAAGATCAGGCCAGTTTCCAGCTCGCTGTCGTAGCGCAGTAGTACTTGGAGCTTCGTCGAGTTTCGCAAAGGTCTTGCTCAAGGACTCGGAGACTGTGGATTGGCTTAATCAATGGCCGTACTCAGCTAAGAACTACTCAATGCACTGTCTTTGTGTTGGTTTTAGGACCTGGCGGTGCGCCCATCGTCGCAGAGCACGTCGTTGCTCCACAGAAATTCCCTTTTTTGGCGGCATTAATAGCATCAATCTAGCAAAAAAACCTGGTTAAGACGATATTCAGAGGTTGAAGAACGATAATCGTGTTTTCGGTAAATGTATGGGAATGAAGTCTATTCCGGAAAATATATCGTCTTGACAGGGGTTTGACTGTACTCTCAACTAAACTTAGAACACGGTCGTTTCAGGTCTAGATTTCGGATTAAGCGTCGCATTAACTACATTTTATAGGCACAGTATAACCATATCTTACATTGCTACGAATAGAGAATGCAATACTAACAGAGACATTAGAATGAGAGCCACTATATTATATTTGTTTTCCAAATCAAGGGACTTATGATGAATTCTACATTCTCCTTGATAAACGAAAGCGACTTTTTGACAACATCGACTAAGCTACCATGTCGAGAACAACAGCTCAGAGCTTTAACTACTCTAGTTTCGGTAAGTCTTACCACCTAAAAATATGACATTGCTCAAAAACTTAATAGCCGTTTGGCGCCCAATGTCGTAACGTCGTCCTTCATGGTCTTGAAGCTACTGGGAAAAAATCTGTAGCCAAACTAGTACTTGATCACTTATCGAAGGACAATCACAATGTTACTAAAAATGATAGAGGAAATTCTGAGTGCTCACTTCGATATATTTTTCTCAACATCGTAGAATATATTGGGAGTAGACATCTTTTTGAGCAAACGATAGGGCTGATAGCCAAGACCTTGGATTCTGAAAGGGTCCCAGGATTGGTTGGGAATATTTCAGAATTCGCAGTTGAGATTCAACTTCTAATTGAAGAATGGAATTCCGGGACTACTGGCAGAAAGAGACTCGTTCTTGTCTTTGACGGAATAGATAAGATGCGAGATCCATTACCCACCCTCATTCCCGCTATCGCTCGCATGGCTGAAATGGTATTTTCCTATGGCTTCCAAAGCTATTTACCTCACTAACTAACAGAACTAGATACAAAGCCTGACGAATATTTTTATAGTTACCTGTCCTAGACCTCTCTTTCTTCACATCCCAGGCGTTCCTCACATCGCTTTTCCATCTTACACAAAAGCCGAATGCATACACCTAATAACTCTTATTAAACCATTCCCGCTACTACCTAAGAAGGAAGAAACTAAACCGACCTGGTGTCGGTTCACGATGGCTGTTTATGACTCAATATCCAAGCATTGTGGTAGAGATATTATATCTTTTAGGGATCTCTGCTTACGACTTTGGCCACTATTTACACAACCGATAATTTCAGGTGATATAGAAGCTAATCCATTCTCCCGCCTCATGGTGGCAAACCGACATCTCTTTCAAGACGATTCAGTACTCTTACATAACATGATTTCCACAAATAGCTCATCTACAGCCCTCTCTCAGGACCAATGTTACACAAACATTGCAGACCTTCTTCCATCTTACTCCCGTCTCCTCCTAACAGCAAGCTATCTAGCATCCTTCAATCCATCTCGGAACGACGCCTTATTTTTTATCAAAAAATCTGCTGATAAGCGCCGCAAAAAAGGTGGTGGTACGGCCCTTACATCATCCAAACCAGGTGTCTCTAAGTCACGCAAGATTCCACGCAAGCTACTTGGCGCTCAAGCATTTGTACTGGAGCGTATGCTAGCAATTTTTCATACTATTCTAGAGGACTCTGATATTAGGAAAGGAACTACTAGTGGATTTACTGTACGGAGGTCAATACTCAATGGTAGTGCAGATGTACAGATGGGTCTAGCTACACTTGTTAGTCTTCGGCTTCTGGTAAGAATTGGAAATTTAAATGCAGGGGACATATTAGATGCAGGCATGAAGTACCGAGTGTTGATTGGGTGGGACATAGCCAGAAGTGTGGGGCGGAGTGTAGGAGTTGAGCTCGAGAATTATTTGGCCGATTAAGGCACAGCTTACGTAAAATTTGTCGTCTTTTTCTCTTTGAGTCAAGCCCTTCCATTTCGTCTTTCGAAGAATTCTCAACTTTAATCACTCAAAATCTCTTAATCTGTTGCTCAATGTGGACGCTCACGTTGAATACTTGTCAACTATTTTGGAACAATCTGGAGACAATACTTTTAGGCAAGATTTTGTCGACTATCCCCAATGATTAGTTGGTACATACAGCTTTAGGTCAAGTAATAAATGCGAGCTAAAGTCATATTTACTATGATACCGGCCTAGTACAATCTTCGCTAGATGACCGGAACTTTTTTCCCTTCAACCTCAGATCTTCAAAAACCTCCACAACTTCTTATCCTACCTAGCCTTGGACTAAGAAAGAACAACAACAACAGACCAAAGCCTCTATATGCGCCTCTGCGTACTTGGAGGTGCTCACAGGCGGCCCCAAGTCACAACTTAGGAATATAGTAAGGCAAATATTAAGAAGAGATTGATATCGTGAAAATTATGAGTCTGATAGATGCATAGCCCTGAAATATTCCCTGAAAAGTTGCACATAACCGCAAATTAACAAGCACGATTCAGTCCACTAAACATCCTATTTACAGGGAATATTCAATATTCACCAATGCCTAGATGAGGGTATATGAATCTATGCTGAGATGGAAAAACGTCAATTGGAAAGGCGACTAAGACAAAGTTTTTACGTCGTAGTTCAAGCAAAAATGGTAAAACTATGTAAGGCGAAGACGAGCGTGATAGGAAAATACATAGTACATCAATATCTATAAGTTTATATATTATTGTAAACGCTATTGGCTCAATCTTGTATTACAACTAAATCACAAAGGTTCTATATCAAGGTTCATGTATTGGCAAAAATTAAGCATGTTGGAATAGCATCTCTAGCTTGGTTTACTTGGAGTTGGTGGTTCTTGGTATACAGGCAAACGAATTCCTTCGTTATGGATTTCGTCATTCGGCAATACTCTACCCGAACGCAACATAGCTAATATCTCGTAGCATCATTATAAGCTAAATAACGAATGAACCATGAATGTGCATTTCTTCTGAACTATTGTTCGAAAAACTCATACAAGCATTCTCATAAATTCAAGTGAACTAATAGACTTTTAGTGTATAACCTTTGTTATACCAACAAAGCACAACAATATACAAATTTACTATTAACTTTAAAGCTATTTAGATGGTTTTAGCTGTCCTTCATAGTCACTGACTCAGTAGGGACATAAATAAAATTATATTATATTTTCTATCTAGGTTCAACCAGAAAGAACGCCCTTGTCATGTGTATGTACGCACTGATCACCTTGGATTTTTTCTTTTTTGCATCAGATTTTAATTGCGTATGCAGCTATCTAGCTATGATACAATATCAAAGCTAGAATTCTTGAATATTCATGAGAAAATCAATAAGATACCCCATTACCATTACCGTCCCCCTCCGACTTGCATACAATTACACTAATACGAATTCTCACAGTAGCAAGACCCCGGATCTCCAATATGTCTCCAGGGCCTGCCAAATCATCGCGACCTATTCGCCATCAAAGAACAATTGATAGAGCGAATACCAGGCTGAAAAAGCGCTTGGCAAAAAAGAACATACCATTGAGCTCGATAGACGAGCGAAAAATGGAGTCGGAAATGACCGAGAGGATAAGAGCCTTTGAAGAAGATTCTAACTCCACAAACACAGATGTTGAAATGGGTGATGCGGTTATCGACCGATATATCATGGAGGGGCTTGAGAGCTCACGATAGAATGTCAGTGAACCCGAAGACGGTCAGGTCTCAGAGACCCCCGTTATTACAGAAACGAGGAAGATTGCTGTGCCGGCCATGAAGCGGACAGCTAATGTTAACTTAAAAAAGGCCGACGAAGCCACGTCAACCACAGCCCCTCAGAACCCCATTCCGAGGACAAGTGGAAATAATCAAACTTCTTGCAGCGATGGCAACCCCAAGAACACTGCGGCTTGTCCTCCCGAGCTTCGAGCCATACTTGAAGCCGAAGAACAGCGAGCAGCCCAGACCGCAACTAATCTCACAATATGCACCGCTGCTATCAATGGTGTGGAGAATGCGCTCTCACCTCTATCCAAGGGGTCAAGCGTTCAATTTATAGACTCCATGAAAGTCTACCTCCGAGCTGCGATAGCTCAATTCATGATGTCGGGACCAGGAACAGTCCTTCCCAACCTCCCCCCACGACCAAACTGCCAGAATTATGGCGGAAAGATCATTGAACAAACGATTGAAATGCAGCCAGAGCTGCTACAAAAAGCGACCCAGGTCAAACCTACCTGGGCAACAGTCACCCGAACTGGCCTCCACACGCCAGCAGCACCTGTGAAAGATGTGCGGGTCCATAAAAAACCCCCGACACCAACGAGACCTCCGGCAAAAGTTAAGAAAACTGGACCCAAAGATGATTGTTTGTTTCTTCGACTCGGAAAAGAACATGCTTGGCGCGCACTCTCGCCGGCCGGTGTCCGAGATGCGACAGCAAAATTGCTCGAGATACCCCCGCAGAATATTGAACATGTATACCGTGTTCCGACAGGCTTTGCACTCTGAGCCAAAAACCTGGAGGTACGACAGCTCCTTCTGAACTCTGCTGAGTCTTTCGTCCAGGTAGACGCAATCCTGGAGAAGGCCTCAGATTTAGTGGCCCTTCGTATTGCGACAATTCCCGTCGCAATTCACACACTCCTAGGTAAAGTAGTTGTCACCGACGAGATGGAGGTCGAAGAAATCGCCAGGGTCACTTCAAAGGTTCCGGTAAGGGTCCGCCCTCATGGAAAAGGGAGAGTCGGAGCCCCATACCACACATGGGTAGCTCATTTTGAAAGAGCGTCCGTCCCTAGACCAGGCTTCCGACTATTTGACGACTCGGGAATCGCTGTTTGCCATCAGTCACGCCAAACTGTGAGCCAATGCAAGCGATGTCTCTTATACCACGGGACCCAGAGTTGCTCGCGCGCCCCAGTGTGCTGGAACTGCACCTCAACAATGCACTCCACTTCGGAATGCCAAGGACACACCAAGTGCCGCAACTGCGGGGGTCCTCACAGATCAGACAGCCGAAACTGTCTGGCCCGCCCTAATAAGTCCGGAATGGCTTCTAGGGAAACCCTCGAAAAGATCAGGAACGCTAGCCAATGCGAATATGCCGCGGTGATCCGGGCGAAAACCGCCGCTCGACGAGCAGAGGCCGATATCAAAGCCGCCACTGAGATGGCCAAAATAGCTACGCCAAACTACAGCTCCCATAACAGCTACGAGGTTCTAATGACGGATGAGACGCCAAACGTGACTGAGATCACAGAGGCGGTCGTCCCGAAAAATTACTCATAAAGGGCGCCCCACGGGCCCCTTTCCGCCTCCCTCCTACTCTAAGTTTCATATCAATAAACGTAGGTAGAGGAGGTCCAACACAGAATATTTCACTTGCCCGAGCATTCGAGCTGAATATCAACGTAGTCCTAATTCAAGAACCTCGGTGGAAAGAAGAGACAATGTCGCATCCTGGATACATTTGCCATTTACCTCATGGTGGCGAAAAGGTCAGGCCAAGGGCTGTGACCTACACCCGGAAAGATGATAAGACAATATCAGCGAGGCAACTCTTCCCCTGTGCTAAGCTGACGGGCGACTATTGCTGGGTGCTTGTTAATGGAGTCACTTTCCTCAATGTGTACAAGGCACCCAGAGACACATCAGCCGTACAGCCACTTATCAATTGGACCCCGCCGCCGAACTCAGTCGCTGCGGGTGATTTCAATTCGGTGTACTGTGCCTGGCAACCAGGAGTCACGAGCCCCTACGGGCAAGGTGAAATGATTGAAAGATGGGCAGAAGATCACAATCTAACCTGCCTTATTGTTGGAGAACCCACGCATCAAGCTGGAAATACCCTGGACCTTGTCTAGACCAGCATTAATGTCAGCCGTGCATGGGTCGACCGTGATGAATGTGTCACCAGCGACCACCTTCCTATCCGAGGAATAATCCCAGTCCAGCCCGCAACATTGAGACCCAACTTGGGCAAGATTCGAGTGACGAAGGAAAGACTGCCCGACTTTGCACGAGCTGTTACTGTTCGGATTAGGTCCTGGTCAACGATGTCTAGCCTAATTGTGCTATGTTGCAGGCTACTGTTCCAATTATTCATGGGGTCATCATCAGGGTTATGAGTAGTTTCGGTTTTGGTGTGGGTTGTTAGATTGATACCTAAGCGTGTCGCATAGTAGTCAGACATGCGACTCGAGTAGCATATACACGGTAAACCTCAACCCCAAAATGATGATACGAATCATGCTTTACATGCTACGTCCTGTATGGCTAGCGTGGTTGGAATATGGTGAATTTACCTGTAGATAGATAAAGACGTTGTAGCCCTCTGATAGTTGGGACAAGTCTTCTACAATATTATATCGGAATCAATACTAGCCTCTCATTAAGCAATCTCATGAATTATTTCCAATGTCTGTGATAACAGACATACATATACAATGTCGACAACACGTTCAATGTCGATAAGTTACTAAGTTGGTCCATCTACCGCCAGTTTTAGATACAATCGAAAAGGTCGAAGACTATGCCCAGGAACTTTGCTTAAAGTTTAAGACTGCCATCAATGCAACAGGAACTCGACCCAGAGCAAACGGCGGTAAATCAGCCCCGTGGTGGACCCCGGCGTGCAAGGAAGCACTGGCTGAATATCGAGCGGCAGAATCACCTCTCCAACGTGCAGTGTATGCTAAAAAGCTCCGATCAGTCATAAGAGCTGCCAAAAAAGAACATCAAGCACAGCAGGTGGAAAGAATGAACACGCCGAACGATGTTTTTAAGCTGATGAGAATGGCTGGGCCTAGACAGACAAACATCCCACCACCCCTCAATCACAACGGAGCTCTCATCTCTAATCCACTAGAGCGAGCCACAGTTCTCCGTGACTGTCTCCTGGCAAGACACCAAACATTGGACGACCTGACGCCTTGCATTGCCACGAGTAACAACCGTATACCATGGAAGGATGACATCTCCGAGGAAGAAGTCCGAGCTTGTACTATCGGCTGTGGAAACACGGCTCCGGGAGCAGTTGGAGTCTCCGTACAGCTGCTAGTGGCCTGCTGGAAGACAATTGGACCCTGTATAGTCAAGCTCTTTAGAGCTTGC